CCTTTCTGGGGACAGAGGTGAGGCTGACAGGCCTATAATTGCCTGGGTCTTCCTTCTTGCCCTTTTTGAAGACCGGAGTGACACTGGCTATCCTCCAGCCTTCAGGGACCTCCCCCGTTATCCAAGACCTCTCAAAGATGATGGAGAGCGGTTCGGCAATGACCTCCGCCAGCTCCCTCAGCACACGTGGATGCACCCCATCAGGTCCCATGGATTTGTGGACCTTAGTACTGCCTAAGTGCTCATGGACCACCTCTTTCCTGACTAAAGGGAAGTCTCCCATTCTCCAGACCCTCTCACTAACCTCCAGGGTATGGGAAACCTGAGGGAGAGCCTTTTCACTGAAGACGGAAGTAAAGAAGGCATTCAGTATCTCTGCCTCCTCAGCATCCCCCGTTACCAGAACACCCCCCTCACTTAGTAAGGGGCCCACATTCTCTTTAGCTTTCCTTTTGCTGTTAACATACCTGAAGAAGCTTTTTTTTTATTATCCTTTATCCCCTTCACCAGATTTAATTCCAGGCGGGCTTTAGCATTCCTCGTCACGTCCCTGCAGGCCCTGACTACATTCCTGTATTCTTCCCAAGTGGTCAGACCCTTCTTCCACATTTCATGGACCTTCTTCTTTCCTTTGAGCTTGCGCATGAGCTCCTTGCTCATCCACACAGGTCTCCTGCCACCTTTTCCAGCAATGAAGAGCTATAAAAGTGTCTGTTACCACCACTCCTCCTAAATTCCATCTTTAATTCACTGTCTTCCCAGAGGGATGTAAGAGCATATGGCTTTGAGTTTCCCTAAAGGACTAAAAATTTGTCAAGTAGTTTAACCTAGAGAAAAAAGGCAAGGCTTGAGGAGAAGGGGTTCTAGTCACCACATGCAAATACCTGAAGGAAGGGTGCAAAGAGGACAGAGCCAGGCTCTTTACAGTGATGCCCAATGCAAAGACAAGGGGCAATGAGCACAAATTAGAACATAAGAAGTCCCCTCTGAACACCAGGAAGCATGTCTGTGCTGTGCAGGTGACTGAGCACTGGCACAGGTGACCCAGAGAGGTTGTACAGTCTCCTCCTCAGAGATCTTCAAAAGCTGCCTGGACATGGGCTTGGGCAACTTGCTCTGGGTGGCCCTGTTTAATCAGTCTAGTGCTTACTATAGAAGAGCCATGATTCAATAACATTTAAAACCAAAAAGAAAAAGAAAACAAAAAAAAGCTTTCAGAAGCCATATGCTTCACTCTGTTATACTGACCATTCTCAAAATACTTAATACAAAGACAGTGGGGAGTGTATGGGAACTATTGAGTCACATCCTGAGCCTCTCATTGAGCATCTGGGAAGAGGAGCCAGTCAGCCCTGGGAGCACAGGTGAAGGCAATTCAGCTGTGTGACTGGCAGGGGTGGAGCCTGGTTGCAGCTCTCTTAGACCTCATTGAAGGGCTGACTGCCACTGGGGAAGGATCTCTAGTTGGAGATCTTTCCTTTATGGAATTTTTTCTGCAAGCCTAGATCCTTAGAGATGGGTGAGCATTCAGAGGAGCTACTCCACAATCTTTCATCCTAGTTCTCACTTTAATTAACATAACCTGTTTATGGAAACTGTATGAAAAGCAGTATAAGTCCAAACTAGGTCTCTGAGAAGCAAAAAGGATGCAGTGGTTTACAAATGAGCAGACTGTATCAGGGAAAAAAACACACAAGTTAAGTAAAAATTAAGAAAGCTCCAGCAGAAAATCAACACTGAAGTGGATATTACTTGAATTTCCTTTAACACCTTCCATTCAATAGTTTTGAAATAGACATACATAACACTAAGGTTCTTTTACATTGGCATCTTATAAAGTGGAAAAGTCACTCAGCTTCCCTTTTATCCATGTCATATGAGGCTGTTGCAAATCTGAAGACAATGCTGTTTCTTCCAGAGCCCTGCTCCTGCACTTTTGTCAAACAAGAGACAAAAAAAGATGTATAATTTTATTATTTCACAAAAAAACTATTCCAAAGTACTGGCACTAAAAGTTACTGAAATTACAATTAAACATTATTAATATTATATTAATAACTAGTATCAGTAGTGTTCTATGATACAAACATTTTGCAAACACTATTAATCAGCATATTATTTTGCTGTGATTACTATCACTAGGGGGACACCAGCAACAAATATAGAACATACCAAAAATGGTGTTTTCCTCATAAAACATTAAATAAAAGTATATGGGGAAAAAAGATAAAACATTAGATAACTTATCCTTTTGGAATTGGAGCTAAGAAAAAAAAAAAAAAAACACATTATGGTAAGTAACAATATTTTGTTGTTGGGATTCTCCTTAACTTCCCCTAGATTTTAGTGGCACATCTGTAGCTAATCTTGAACCCTAAAATCCTTGAACATTTCCAAGATATCATTAGTGCTGCAAACTGATTTAGCCTAGCTTGCTTTAAAGTTAACTAGCAGTCAATGGTTTATTGGGCCAGATCAGCCTGTTCCATGACTAACTGGGGCAGGGGGACCCATGGATCCACACTCTGGGAGAGGGGGAAGAAGGAAAAGGGGAAGAAAAAAAAAAAAAAAAAAGGGAGATGGGCCTAAAAACAAAACAGCAGCAATGAGCTAAGGGAGAAAACTAATTTAGTAAATATGCTAGTGGAATGCAAGATAACACACTACAGTACAATATACTTGGAATTGAAGCTAATAAATCAAATAAAATGAGATAGTGTCCAAAACTGAAAGCCTTACTCTAACACTGAAGGTGAGATGACTGGGGAGCTCACACCACAAGCAATAAAAGAAGGGATTGTCTCATGACTCGTGGGCAGTTTTATCTTTCCCTCTGAACAGAAAATGGAAATGGAACAGTGAAAAGTCCTCTGGGATATGTAGTTCTCTTCTGAGAACCAGGTACCCAGAAAAATGGGCACTCCACAAAATTGGAGCATTAACTCTTTAAGTCCCAGTGCTCTACATGATGTTATGGTGTGGAATACTGATAACAAAAATCATAAAACCATGACACTAGCATAAGGTTAAAAATAAATTCCTTAGAAAAGTTAGGCCATACCACCACAGAGAAATCAGGCTTAGGTATAAATACCAAGTCAGTCAAGATAGGAACCCTAACCCATATTCCACTGGACGTTGTGATATAACCGTCAAAGGAATTGCTAAAGGAAAGTCTGGTAAATATTAAAAGAGCAAGTCTCCAAAAGTTAAGTTGAAGTCATTAGCTTTGAAGGACAATTTCAATTTGCTCTGAAGGCCTCCAATGCAAAGCCCTCCTCTAGGCCTGCATATCCTTCTCACTTCCCTCACATCCAGCTTTTTTCTTTCCTTGAAACAAAAACAGCTGCTCTCAAGACAAGACAGCCTCTCAGTTTCACCAGCCACTGCCACCCCAGAGGCTATTGTTTTGATCTGTTGCTTTACTATAAGCATTCAACACTTAGCCAATTTGAAGTAAGGCTGATCAGTAGCTAGAGAACTGAGCTGGCCCTTGTGAGCTTTCCCTTACATAGTTCAATACAAAAAAAACCCTAAGCTTCTGTTTCACAGGACTGCATATACCTTTGAACACAACCAAGAAAGGGCTGTAGGACTCACACTCCTGACTTAATATAACTGTAAGAGGCTGCAAAGCAGGTTCACTGGAGTAACATTAAATGGCATTGCAGACATCACATTGTTTTTTCTCCTGTTTACTTTTAAAGCGTGTATTTCACATCCCAGAGTTCAGATCCTTTCCATCAGACTTGAAGGTGCACCAGATCCCTCTCTACATTTGGTTGCTTCTAGAAGGGTTTCTACTACCAGTTCACCTCCCTGCTGTAATTTCTGTTTGCTCTTGTTGAATGAACTTCTTTTCATGCAATACAAGCAAGCCCAATAAAGCCCTGCCCCAGCTTCCCATTCTCAGCAGCCATACATAGCCAGGAGATAAGGGGACTAGGAAGAGAAGGTTAACAGGAAGAGAGGTTGGTTTGTAGTCCTGTCCTCAAATAATCTGCTGTCACCACTGTGATGCTTACTAATGGTAAGTCCTAGGTAGTTGTGACCATGACATATCTGGCCTACATCCTTTAACAGGAAAGGAGGAACCAGGATCAAGAGGCAATGTGGAAGTAAAGACACAAACAGGACACAAAGCAGGAGTTACCCATGGCAATAAATTTCTCTCCTGTGCCCAACTGCACATGAGGGCCTGTGAGCACAAACCCCTTGGCTGGCCTGCTGAGAGGATTGGCTGCCCTTCTCGTATCTCCACACCCTCCTCCTCTTGCCCCCCTAGATACCAACACTCTAGGCCTTGGCCACCTCAGCAAGAGTACCATGGCAGGGAATCACCCTGAAGGGACAGGAAGCAACACACTTCAGGGTGGCTGATAGGTCGGGACAGCTCCCCATCCTATGCAATAGGATCAAGCATGGATGTGGGCTAGAACCACTCCTGCTTCTCCTCTGCCCCAGAGAACATGGTCTGTGACCTGTGGATTGGGGGGGGGGGGCAACACAGGGCAGGCCACAGACACCAACTAAGCGACTGGTAGTGGGGTGAACACCAGCAAAAGTGGGGCAGAGCCGCCTGGCCTTTAGTAGATGGGCTGCTGCCACTACACAAAAGCCACAGCCAGACCGAAGCCTCAACGTTATTTGGATAAGGGAGCGATACAGCCGTCAGGTTGGGGATGGGCCGGTGGGCCTACTGCCCTCATGCAAGGCGAGATGGGGGGAGGGGAAGAAGGACACAGCACACCGTCCGGGGGCCCCCCCCCCCCCCCGAACTCGGTATTTACCCAGTGTGCTCACAAAGCAGCAACTGCGACCGACGCCATCACGTGACAGCTCCTCACTTCGGTCGGCCGGTAAGTTGCCCCTCCCCGCCTCCACACTCGCGCGGGACTGCTTTCCCCACAACGTGACACAACGCCACGCGCACCCACTGACTTTTCACCCCTCACCCCCCCGCCAACAGCAGACGCAAATCCACCATCCTCTCCACCTACCCCAACACCAAATAAGCAGATCAAAAGAAGCTAGCCTCTTCCCCTCTCACTTGACTGGAGCTCCGCCTCCTTGCGTAGCGGAAGTGGAGGAGCTGGCCCCGCCCGCGGGCGGTGTCGTGCTGAGGGGACTGGCATTTCCTGACGTGTGAGGGATATGCGAGTTCTGCGGCTGTTTAAGAGTTATTGGCCTTGGAGAGGGTGCACTGCCTACAGCCCCGAAGGGCCACGGGGCTGCATAGCCAGCACACCTAGCAGTATGGGCTTAGAGAGAGGAAAGTGTTCAAAATCATGACTCATGCCCTCCAGCAGGGTGAGCTGGGAGCTCTTTATTTAAGTTTTGCTTCTGATTTCAAATTTACTTTTATTTGTTTCCCTATGGCTTTATGGCAGAATTTGGGTATATGTGAGTATTAAGTTACCAATATGAAAATGTTGAAGAAATGGATTACAGGACATGTTATATGTATGTGTCAACCGTTTATGGGCCCGGTTGTGTGACTAGTGGGGTGGAGGGATGTGCAGATCCGTGCCTTCAGAAAGGGGAAACAGGGGTCCCCAAAATAATTAAAACAGCGGCACCGATCTGAGGAGAAACAAACTAATTTACTAAGTATATTATCGGAATGCAAGAGAACACACTATAATACAATATAATCAGAATTGAAGCTAATACATCAAATATAATGAGAGAGAGAGAATGTCTGAAAGGTGGATAGGCCGCACCACAATGCTGAGGTGAGATGCGCAGTCAGGTCCAGCAGCAGGGAGGAGAGCTGAAAAAAAGGAAGGTCTTGTGACCTTGCCAGGAGTTCTATCTCCTCTCTGACTGCAAAGCCCCCTGGGGAATGTAGTTCTTCTTCTCTTCTGGACAGGTGCCCAGAACTGGAGCATTAACTCTTTAACTCCCAGCGCACTACATGATGTTACGATGTGGAATACCGAGAACCAAAAATCATAAAACCATAACAGTATGGAAAGCTGTAAAGTCTGTAGCCGGCTAGTGAATGTTAGATAAGATTATACACAGAGGAAAGATAGAGTGGAAATCCCTCTTTATTCTCCACTACCCAGTTCCATATCTTCTTTCTTCTACAAGGAAGGAAACAAAATTTGCTCATTCTAGCAACATAGAGAATTAAAAAGGAGATAGTGGGCAACTACCTGGAGAAACAAAGCAAAGTTTGCATATCGGAATGTTTTCTGAAGGCATCTTACCAATTTAAATTCTCTATGGAGTTTTAAGTACTTTTGAAGTATTTCCTCTTTAAGCCAGTGCTGGTAGAGGATTAACTTCAAAGTTTCCAGTTAAAAAGAAATATGTTATTTGTTTCCAAAATTTAGTTTCTTCCATATGTGTTCTCAAAGTGCTCTAGAATTCCCTACCCTTAGTCGTTGCAGATGCCGGAGAAATCACAACAGACTGAGTGAGAGGTATTTCTACAGGCATCATTGTGTAATTCTATAGAAAAGCTAGCTGATTACATGGAGGTAAAAACTTGGGGTTGCTGGTTGAAATAGAAACAGTAAAGGTTGAATCTTAATGATTCATAACTTTTTTTGTGTAATTGTTTTCCAAATAATTCAACATCGTAGTTCTTATAGAAGTAAGGTACTACAGAAAGGCAAAGAGAAGGGACAGGTGGAAGGAAACAAATGACCAATGTTTATCCAAAAGGAAATATACAGACTGATACTTTTGTGCAGGTGTGCTGAGTCTTAATTCTTTTACCTTTTTGTAATGTACAAGGCAATGAGATATCTTGAACAACAGATTGCATCGTTTCTTAAAAACAAGTTAGGATGGAGGTGTTGAATTTTCAAAGTAGATCATAAAAATAAATATTGTATTTTGGTAATTTACTCATACCTTAACTTTGATAGCGTTTCATAATTTTCACGGAAAAACATCATTTAGATAATCTGTGTTATGAGCAGCCTTAAATGACTCTAAAACTGAAGAATGGCAACCAAGAAAAAAAAATTATTGTGTATCTGTCAAGGAGGGAGAATAATATGTAGTGGCTCGAAGTTGCAAGGAAATTTGCTTTTTTAGGACTGCTATAGAAGTCAGAAGGAATGTTTTAAAGAGTCCTTCAAGGCATTTTACAATGTGGATATAATCCAGAAGAAAAGGATTAGCACAAGTTTTAGACCAAAATAAAATGATTTAGGGGTAAATATGTATGTCTGATAATTCAAAAAAGGAAAACAAAAAGTAATGGGAAGTGAGAAGTTGAAGGGAAATAATTGAAGTTTCACCAAAACCAAATATTATGCACTGTTTTACCCTTATGACTTTCTGAAACTGAACTTGCTGCAGAAGAAAACAAGAGACAGTCACATATGGAAGCATAAGCTGAAGTTGATATAACAGGGATCCTTGAAAACACAAAGTATAATTTCAGTGGAAAACACAGCTGTTAAAAAGTAATGCTTTGCAAGGTGTGGGGGGTAAATGTTAAGAAGATAATATATGGAGCTACAATCATGCCAAGGTGGATTATTGTCAACGGTTTAGGGGCTGGTTCGGCCCGGTTCTGTGACGAGCGGGGCGGAGGGATCCGCAGATCCGCGCCTCCGGAAAAAAAAGGAAACAGGAGACCCCAAAATAATTAAAACAGCGGCATCGATCTGAGGATAAACAAAGTAATTTACTAAGTATATTATCGGAATGCAAGAGAACACACTATAATACAATATAATCAGAATTGAAGCTAATAAATCAAATATAATGAGAGAGAGAGAATGTCCGAAAGGTGGATAGGCCTCAGCACAACGCTGAGGTGAGATGCGCAGTGCAGTTGAGCAGCAGGGAGACAGGAGCAGCGCCCACGACGAAGGGCAGGCGAGAAAGAGAACTCAAGTGACCTTGCCAGGAGTTAAACCTCCTCTCCCTGACCGCAAGGTCCCCTGGGGAATGTAGTTCTTCTTCTCTTCTGGGCAGGTACCCAGGACTTGAGCACTGACAGTGAAAGTCCCAGTGCCCCACATGATGTTATGATGTGAAATA